TTCAAAAATTGTGATTGCTTAGGCGATTGTAGCAAGGTGTAAGGTTATCTCTGATTCTTTTCCATGCCTTCGGATTCAAGGACTTTAAATAATTTTTTAACTAACAACATATTGGACTGGAATGTAGAAAGAAAAAAAAATTGGAATGCAAAACAACAAATAAACTAAGTTTGGAAGATGAAACAAGTACCATACTTAACATGAAATCAAAGTAGTAAAGATCACCGGAGTGATGGATTACAGGAAAAAGAAAATTATTCAGAAGTAAAAACAAGTAGAAGAGAGGTTGGTTTTGTGTAGAGTTTGTTGTGTTTGATCGTGGATCCTCTCTCCGTAGACTTGCCTTTGTTATTTATAGGGATGACCTTCAACCTTCGAAGTCATACTTTCTGTTTATTATTGTAATCATGACCTTTCGCTTGAGGTGTGCAGACGTGCGCTGAGCCATCTTCAACTGGCGGCCCATGATGTCATGTCTTCCCGCTTTTCGGGATTGTTAGAGTTCCACCTCTTTAACCGCTTTATCAAGTATGGACTCTCGGAGACTCTTTCTTGACCGTTGGATCTCTTACATGTGTCACCCTTAGATTTTGTTATTTTTAGGTGTAAATATTGTCCCCCTCAAAACGATGCGACTAAACACTTCATATTCGGGGCGTCGTTTTGGCTCTTTGAATTTAAGTTTTTGCTGTTACACTTGTCTTGCTTAGTTTTCATCCTGCCATTGGCCGTGAAGCTCGGGAATTGCGGCTAATCTTTCACATGTAGTATTTCGGTCTATCCTTCGCCCTTTCAAATCTGCAAGAAACAATTGACACACGATCTATCCATATTTTTTCATCATTGTAACAGTTCATTCTTCGTGAATTTGAAAATCGTTCTCAGACAACCTTTTTATCATTACTTTGAACTTTTCTTCTTCTTCTTCTTCAATGGAACGCCCTCGTACTATTGCTCTTGAAGCGACTCTTTTACTAGTACAAGCTACTTATGTTACTCCTAAACAATACATATTCAAGGCGTCTTTTTGGCTCTTTGAATATAAGCTTTTGCCGCTAGACTTGCCTTGCTTAGCTGTCATCCCGCCATTGGTCGTGAAGCATACAAATTGTGGCCAATCTTCCATATGTAGCCTTTCGGTCTATCCTTTGTCTTTTCAAATTTGCAAGAAATTGTTGGCACGTGATCCATCCATATCTTTTTATCATTGTAACGGTTCGTTCTTTGTGCATATTTAATCTATCCTCAAACTTGTCTTTTTCTCATTATTTTGACCATTTCTTCTTCTTCTTATTCTTCAATGGAGTTATTCTTCAATGGAGCTCCCTCGTACTGTTGCTCTTGAAGTGGCTCTTTTATGAGTACAAGCTATTCATTTTACTCCTTAACACTTTATATTCGGGGGCCCATTTTGGCTCTTTGAATTTAAGCTTTTGTCGCTACACTTGTCTTGTTTAGTTGTCATCCCACCATTGGCCATGAAGCTCAGGGATTGTGGCTAATCTTCCACGTGTAATCTTTCGGTTTATCCTTAATCGTTTCAAACCTGCAAGAAATAGTTGGCACGCGATCCGTCCATATCTTTTCGTCATTATAATGGTTCGTTCTTGGCTCCTATATAATCAGACTTGCTTTTGTGTCATTACTTTTACTTCTTCTTCTTCTTCAATGGAGCCCCTTCGTATTATTGCTCTTGAAGCAACTTTTTCACTAGTACAAGCTACTCATGTAATTCTTCTTACTTTCAATCCGCTCTCTAAGTCTTCTTCAGTAGAAATGGCGCTTGGGCCTACTTTCAAAGAGATGCTTCCATATGAAGTTTGACGCATCTACCCTGACTCCATATGTCTCTTCCTTTTAATCTCCAAGAGCCGCTTCAATGATCTAACTAGCTTAGTGGCACTCTTGTCTGCGCATAGAAGACCCCTTCTCCTAATTGAATATCTTGGGTTGTTTGTGTTAAAGCAGCAAAGGGTACCCTATGATATCATCTTGACATTTATGATGCCATAGAAGTTAGCATTATCACGTTGCTCATTAAAAAACTACTACTCTGCGCCGCTCTTCTGTTTTGGTCCATGGCGAACAATACCTTTCACTTTCATTTTGGCATGATGGACCCCACGATTTATGACATATTTGCCCTCCTCGACCTTCCTCCACTTGGGGCCGGGGCCGAGGCTAACACACTACTTATTTATACTTAAGTGAGCTACACTTTTTCCAACTGATGTGTAGAATAATTCGGTTATTGCCTATACCTTTTTTATTGCGGCCTATCGCAACTATGATGGCTCTTCAATATTGGATAGAGAACACATTTTGTTCTTACTTTATTGGCTCAACTAGTTCTTTTTTTATATCAGTAGGTGACTATTGTTCTATCGATAGGTTTGAAACAGAAAAGTGTTCTACCAGTAGAAGAGAAGGTCAACCAGTTCGTGTGAAATAGTGAACAGTTCTACTGGTAGATCATTTTCTGTTTCCTACCGGTAGGTTACTGTATTTTGGCAGTGAAGACTCCTAAGAAAATTGAATCAGTTGAATTATTTAAAAGTCGTGATTGATGGATAAAAAAGAAGAATTTCAACAAAAAATCCTCTATAAATACCAAAGCCTAACCGCTTGAGAGAGCATCTCCTTTTCTTCGTTCAATTCCCCAATTTCTTCACCAAACTCCCTTTCTTTTTTTCCTAGGTTTAGACTTAGTCTTTTTCTTCTTTAAAGTTTTCGTCATTGTTTTACATTTGAAACTTTGTTTAAGTTCAATTATTTCATTCTTACAACTCTTTACTTTTGATTCTTCTTGTAAACAATTTACATTAAAGCAATTCAATTTAAAGTATTTACCTTTCTTGTAATTTCAAGCCCTGCAATTTCAATTCAAGTTTTCTTGCTTTAAATTATGATCATGCTTTCTTTAATTGCTTCAATTTTCATTCCGTCAGTAGTGGATAGTCTACTCTAGTTTGATCGAATGATGGATTCTCATCCATGAATTAGAGATTTTGACTTAAACTGGGGTTTTTCAATGATTGAGTTATTTGGATTAATTGGTTAATTAAAGTTGGAAACACTATCGATATATATATCTTCTTACTTACTTGTAGACAACTAAGACTTAGCACAGGAAATTCTTGAAATCACTACAATCGAAGTGGGTTTAATTATTTCAAAAATTGAATCAATTAATTCGAATATACATTTGTTATTTATAATTGAGTTATCTACAGTTTGAGTGCGTTTGAGTACAATCTTAAATGAATTATAGAATTTGAGTCAAAATACTTTTTCATGATGAGATGAACTCAACTGATTAACCGGTTCTATTTCTTTAATTGTTAATTTGTAGTTGATACTTTTTCCAAACCAACTCTCAAAATTCAAGGTTTTTATTTTCTTTTGTCTATCACCCTTTAAGCCAACCTTTTTTATGAGGGGACGACATCGGTAATTGACCAAGTTATAAACACGATACCCCTTCCTCTGCTTAGGAATTCCTTATTAATTTGATGCCGCTTTAAGGAGCAAGCACGACATGAAGAGATCCAAAAGCCATGAAAGATTCTATGAGAGTCCATGATTGATAGAGCAACTAGGGAAGTAGGAGTCTAATAATCCTGGGAAGTGAGGAGATATGTCATGAGCCGTTAGTTGGAGATGATTCAGTGCACGTTTACACATTTCGAGAGAAAGATCATGATTACAGTCATGATCGAAAAATATGGTTTCAACTAGTGAAGGTCATCCCTATAAATAACAAAGGTCAAGCCACAAAGAAGGGATTCATGATAAAAAACAACAAACTTTATATAGAGTCAACCTACCTTATACTTATTTTTGCTTTTGAACAACTTTATTTTTCATGTTACTCATCACTCCAATGATCTTTTATTGCTTTCATTTAATACTAAGTTTAGTACTTGTTTCATTTTTCAAACTTAGTCAACTTGCTGCTTTGCATTCCAATTGTCTTTTTTACATTTCAATCCATTAGACTGTTAGTTGGAAAATTATTTAAAGTTTTTGAACCCTAAGACATATAAAAGAACTCAGAGGTAATATTATGCCTAAACAGTTATAATTTTAGAACCTCACACTGGTTCGAATAAGTGAGATCGTACGTGTTAAGTTCAATTGAACTTTGGCACGCCCACAAACCGAAAATAGACCAAACAATAACAAATCTGATGTATATGAGGTTTAGTTGGTTACAAAACCCGTTGTAGATACGACGTGTAAACCAATATAAAAAGGATAAAGTATGATTCCTTCTACATGGTTTTGAATGCTTGAAGTAATGGAGGTTCAATACATAAAATCTTTGTTTTTCTGTTAAAGGTATCGACTTTTCGAGTGCATTTGTTATGGAGATATAGAATGATATGTGTATACCTACCTCTTTACTTGAGAACAAGGTCTGCCGACATAGTTCAACTCCACAATGCAGGTTCTTGTATGTTCAAATTTGCCATCAAAAATTGTCGTTTTCTACTATGGTCACATGACTATTTGATCTCCCAATCTCCCATTCTAAATCTGGTTTTTGCCCATCATTTTTATTGTTTACTTATACACGGTGAATGGAGTGTCTATCACCTCACATGGCACATTTGCAGTACACCCATCAGCAATATATGCACCATTTCTTTTGTGTTATATGTGCCCCTGTTGTGTGTGTATGTGAGAGATAGAGAGAGAGATGATAGGGCAAACACAATGTTACACAAGTCTATATGAGTTAAAATCCTTCCATATAAAACTAAGTTATCAAAATTAGATTTCAATTTGTTATGACAAAGACAATGTTAAAGACGTTTCTTTGTCCCAGTGAAAGGACTATCTCGAGATTTGAAAAATATAGGCAATCAATGATATTATAAATGACCTGCAACAACGTCAACTAACCACAGACTCCTTCACCTGCTTACATTTACTTCACTCTCTGTTCACTCTTTATATGCATCTCTCTCTTTCAAGCAGTCTCATCTCTCAGTCTTCTTCTTCCTTTATTTTTTTTTCTTGTTGGGTACTTGAAAGCAGACAGATATGGAGAGAGAGAAAAGCAATCAGGCTTCTCTTCTAATGTGGGCTTTGGTTGCTGCATTCCTTTCTCAGAACTTGCTGATTTCTGTCATGTCTACTGCAAGTGTTGAAGATCAAAAGACCTACTACTCTCCAGACCCGCATGCAGGAAGTCACCATAGAGGTCTCTCTCTCTCTGGTCTTTTATTTTATGCTCTTTTTGGCTACTTATTCTTGAAAGTTTTCAAATATCATGCGTCTCTTTTAGTTCCTAGTAATGATTTCATTGACTATATTTATGAAGAAAATGTGCTCCTATTAAATGTCGCTTTGCTACCAACGTTACTTTGGTTAGAATCTCAACATTAATATAGCTTTGTAACACTAGGAATCTCAACCTAAATTATGGCTTTGTAACACTAGGAATCCCCCTCCCCTCCCCCCAAAAACACAAAAAAGTTGACAAGTCTAAAAATATTTGTTATAATTGTNGGCTTTGTAACACTAGGAATCTCAACCTAAATTATGGCTTTGTAACACTAGGAATCCCCCTGCCCTCCCCCCAAAAACACAAAAAAGTTGACAAGTCTAAAAATATTTGTTATAATTGTAACCGTGGAACCATTTATTTTATTTTTTTAGCTGACCCAAAAAAAAAAATAAGGCCTCTTGTTTTAGAACCATGTCACCTGCCACAATGGTTAGTTTCTTATACCGTTTGCATGCAGGTTCACACAGAAGTCCACCACATGGTTCAGGAGGTAGCTACGGAGGCACACCACCCATTCATGGAACCCCCTCACATGGAGGCAGTGGCAGCTATGGAAGCAGTCCACCGGCTAACTGTGAAAACCCCCCAAGTGGAGGACATTATGATCCAACTCCGAGCACTCCAACGACACCTTCAATACCATCCATTACTCCACCAACCATCATAAGTCCACCAACCATTACTCCACCAGTCACCATAAGTCCACCAACCACTCCTATCGACCCCGGCACCCCAAGCACTCCGGGTGGTGGATACTATAACTCTCCTCCAACCTCCGGCGGCAGCACTCCAACGGCACCTTCAATACCATCCATCACTCCACCAACCACTCCTATCTACCCAGTCACCCCAAGCAGTCCGGGCACCCCGACCATTCCCGGAATTTCAACACCATCGCCTCCATTTGATCCTAACTCGCCCTTTACTGGTACTTGCAAGTAAGTCAATAATAGCATCCCGAGGGATTAACTAAAACCATAGTTGATATATATATATATATATATATATATTAAAAAAAAAAACGTTACCAAATCTCTAATTTGTAATTTACCAGATGCAACAATACTAAAACATTTCACGATTGTACTTGCAGTTTCTGGAGCACTAACCCAGGACTCATATGGGGTCTGTTTGGCTGGGCGGGAACACTCGGTGGCGCATTCGGCACGCCTAGCCTTCCAGGGACCGGGGCGAGCATGAGCTTGCAGGAAGCACTTTCAAACTCTAATACCGACGGCCTCGGGGCTCTGTACCGAGAAGGCACAGCTTCTTTGCTGAACTCCATGGTGAACAGGAGGTTCCCATACACAACCACCCAAGTCAGGGACAGTTTCGTCCGAGCACTCGGCTCGAACAAGGCGGCAGCAGCTCAGGCACATCTCTTCAAGCTGGCAAACGAGGGTCGACTCAAGCCTAGAGCCTGAGAAAAATTCCAAGTTACTCCCAGTATCTTGTCGTGTTCAGTTATGGTGCATTTCTGTGTTGTGTGACTATTTTAGGTTTGGAATTTTATGTTCTAGTTTCCTATGATGTTACAGATTATAAATTTGGATAAACTTTATGTTTTGTCAGTTATCAAATAAGATTAGTGTGTGTTCCAACTGTCCGTTACAAATAGTGTAATATTATCTAGACCTAAAAATTTGGTTTAATTTGTTGATATAATGATGTAGCTTCGGTAGAATCATTGGATCAACGCCAAATTTTAATATTTGATGGGTCCTACAGTCAATCCAAAGATTATAGTGAATTAGGTCAACAAATTATGTCAGTAAATTAGGTTCCAATAACATTGCTCTTACAAATATTCATATCAATTAGGAACATCTCTAACTATGACTCAAATTTTTTGTCAAAATTAAATTAACATTTAATTTAGAAGTTTGATTTAATATAAAGGGCTCCAATGGACAAACTCAAATTTAAAAAAGAGTAAAGATGACCATTGAATCTTAGAAAAAAGTTGAAATTCCACAATTAAAGATTTGAATAAAGATTTGAGTGAAAAGAAGAGTCATTCCTTGATTTGGTATATGTTTGAGTCAAAAGTTGAAGTAGGTTTTTTGATCATTTTTTATTTAAATTTAAATTTAAATTTAAATTTGAGTAATTGTCGGAGATACTCTAATTAAGTGAATACTTTGTTGTTGTTGTTGTTTTTTTTTTTGTGATAATCAATCCGCAGTTTGCCTACAAATAAGGAACCAATACAGATGGACATTATAATAAAAGTCATGTTGTTATTGTAATTTAATTTATTGACTTAATCTGTTGATCTAATTCACTATCGTGATTGGATTGACCGTGAGACTCGCTAAACATTTGAAATTTGATGTTAATCTAATTATTACAAAGAAGTTATCTCATTAAATCAATAAATTAGTTCAAATTTTTAAGTCTAAATAACATTATTCTTCTAATTAATAATAGGTTTTTGTTTACTGGTAAAAAATGGTTCTTCTTGTAAAATCTTATTTTATATACATCATAACTTAAAACATGTCCCAAGTCTTTCCAAGGTATATACTGGCGTAAGGGTTAATTTTGAAATAGAACGAATTCAGAACATGATCATGTACTCCCGCAGGTGTATGCACAAGAGAAACATCTAAGGAACTAATTTACCTAGCCGAGAAGATAATGCTCCTACAACTCAAAGAAATTCGGCAACTATCTGTCTTAATCTTAATCACACACCTAAGTATAAGAGATTAAATTGTAATATTACTCAGTTAAGTCTGAAGTCGAATTTACAGAGAGTTATCTGTTGGAACTCAAAATAAAAAAAAAAAAGTAAGATTGTTGTGTGCGTAATGTGCATTACAACTTGTGATGTGAACTTAGAATTGACAAGTAAATACTTAAATTAAACTTTTGATTACAACAATTGAAAAATACTACTCTTTTGTTCGGGGATCCAACATACATTCTATTGCTTGAGATTATAAAAATGTCATCTTACATCAATTAACTCATTTGTCAATAGAAAGTTAACCGGTAGGTTTGATGCGTAGGTTGAACCATATCACCGCAACTGTTAAGTTAGTGGGAAGATCTATGCACCTTGTAACAACCAAATAATCCTAATAAACCTGAAGGTGAACCATTAAAAATATTTAATATAGCTAATCAATTGGCAGGTCCATAATCCAGTGAAGATGGAGTTTGAGTTTATACATTAAATCAAAGCATTAGCTATGGTAAGACATAACCTTTCTATAACCAATCTCCCGATTATTACATAAATCTTAACTACGTGTATCATTGTATCATGTATGAAGTACATAACCTACAACCTTATCTACCGAGTATGATATTTTCTTATGCACAAGGAGATGTGAATCTAACTATCTAAAGGAGGAGATGTGTGATTTTACCTTTCTAAAGTAGTATTTTCTTGTCTAATTTCTAAAAGTTTTGGTGAATAATCTCAAACCTGTATTTACCAAGAATGGAAATAGCCCAATGCTATCTAAAGAGAGAATTATTTTTAACCATTGAATGACATTAATATGTGTACTTAAATGCTCTGCATATATAGCCACAGGTCTTGATTAACCACTCCCGGGATAATTTTATGTATACTAAATTTGTGTATCAAAATTTATATTAAATTAACTATAATCGTTGGATCACTGATAAAACCTATTAATCCATCTGCTACGAGTAATTTGGTGCACATAGTATTGATCATTATCCGACCAACAAGGCCTGCCCTTTGTTATTTTTCAGAATTATTTTGTTTTGACATCAATAGGGCAGGTCAAAACATTTATAATGTTCTGACATCAATGTATGTACCAAAGAAATACACTTGGAAACCATAAAAAAATGGAACCATGGTGCTGTTTCTTTCAAAATAAGTGAGACAGAGAGAGAGAGAGAGAGAGAGTTGGTAATGCCGTAAAGAAACACAGAAATGATCAGGTCTCATTGAAGTGTAGAAGTAAATGAAACAACTACCATCCATGACGGAATAAGATGTTGGATAGGATGATATTCATACCTACCAAGTTTGTGTTCCGCGGTCGAGGAAAAGAGTTAGAATTTTATCTTGTTTAGTGTCGAATAATAACATAATCACAAATTGTGTTATTATTAAGCGTCGAATAATAACAAAATCACAAATTTTATTAAGCGTAGTTATTCACGAAATCATTGAAAAAAAATTTTTTGTACAATACCAAACATCAATTTATGAATCAATTCACTATTTTTGATACAAGTCATATTTGTTCTCCGACGTTATGAGAATTTCACTTGTTTTTTCTTTGGTTATTAGACTTATCCAAGTAAGGGATTTTGTTTATAAGAGCACCACTAATCCATGTGATTATATTTCTCATTAAATTATTAAATGTCAAACCATTCAATTTTTTGCATACATTAAGTGAAATTAAATATATAAAAGGTATTTAAATTCAAAAGAGTAATCAATCTAAACTAGTATTCCCCGTATAAGGGATTTTTCATTGTTTTCACCACCACCTACCATTGTCGCTATCAACCCTACTACCACCACCACCGTCACCCCGCCAAAACCACCACCATGTAACGGTGAATCATCATTTCATCTTCTTCATAAAATATTTCACCACCCACCACCGTTGTCAGTGTCGCCGCCACATCTACCGCCACCCCACCACCACCACTACACACTATTGTCGTTGCCACTCCCCCTCCCCCCACAACTACCATTGCCGTCTTTGCCACCATCCACCACCATCATTGTCGTCACACACTTTTGATAAAGTATTTTTTATTTTAACTTTCAAACGGTATTTATTTAGTGAAAATACTTTTTGATAAAATACTTATTTAAGAAATATTTTTAAAATTTTATAAATCATTCCTAACACAACCTTAATACCAGGTTGCTACGATTCCTCCTTCAAACCCAAAACAATGAGTGAGAAACATTTACTTCATTTCATTGTGTAGGCAGCTGGCCACTGCACCCAGCACAGCGAACGCAGGCTGTAGTGTATAAATGCTCACCCTACTGAATTCTCCGGAGAATGTACAAATGAGATTATGAAGAAAGGTGATATCCATTTCATTGCGATGAGCTGTCAATTCAAATCATCTAACGGGGCCAGATGGTCATGTGGCCTCTGCTTTGGTGTGGTTGTTGTAGCCCTCAATATCATAGGCATCCAATAAGCTACTAAGGTGTGGTTGTTGTAGCCCTCAATATCATAGGCATCCAATAAGCTACTAAAACAGACAAATTAAAATTTTAAAATATAAGTTAAAGTTTAAAAAATTATTACCCATAACAAAATATTACAATCGACCAAGAAAAACATAAATTTAAGGGAGAATTATAATTAAACTCTCTGAGATTTGTCACTTAATCACTCGGCCCTTGACATTTGGAAATATTATACACAGACCCCTGAGATTTAGACGCGTATAACATTTAAACTCTTACCGTCAATGTCCGTTAGTACATCGATTAGTAAATTACATTCAGATCTCTTGAAGTTTATAGACGCGTAATACTTAGACCCTTCAAGTTTAAAATGTTATATTTAAATAAAAAATGCTCCAATCAAAGACAGAATATCAAATATTTTAAATTTTACAATCAAAATTCATATTCTATTATAACATTTATTGAAATAAAATTAAAAGTCAAATCTAATTTTTTTCTTACAAAATCATNAGTAAATTACATTCAGATCTCTTGAAGTTTATAGACGTGTAATACTTAGACCCTTCAAGTTTAAAATGTTATATTTAAATAAAAAATGTTCCAATCAAAGACAGAATATCAAATATTTTAAATTTTACAATCAAAATTCATATTCTATTATAACATTTATTGAAATAAAATTAAAAGTAAAATCTAATTTTTTTCTTACAAAATCATAATTAGTATACAATTATACCATCTATTGGAATTTAATTTGACGACCAAATTAAAATACTAAATTACACCAATTAAAGTTAGAATATATTGTGTTCATTATAGTTTGACTAATTACTTTATTTTTTAGTTTTATTCCAATAGATAATATAATTGTATACTAATTATGACTTTTTAAGAAATGTTAAAATTTAATTTTTAATTTTATTTCAATAAATGACATAATATAACATAAATTTGNAAAATCTAATTTTTTTCTTACAAAATCATAATTAGTATACAATTATACCATCTATTGAAATTTAATTTGACGACCAAATTAAAGTACTAAATTACACCAATTAAAGTTAGAATATATTGTGTTCATTATAGTTTGACTAATTACTTTATTTTTAGTTTTATTCCAATAGATAATATAATTGTATACTAATTATGACTTTTTAAGAAAAGTTAAAATTTAATTTTTAATTTTATTTCAATAAATGACATAATATAACATAAATTTGGTTGTAAAATTAATGTTCTATTATGAATGACTTAGATCCCTTATTT